CCCCCACTTTTCCTCTAGCCTGCTTTTCCCCTTTAAAACTAAAACCCTCAAACTCATCTGTGGAGAAAGGGACAGACCTGTCTCCCCAGTGCATCCTTAACTTTGGCAAAATAAACCTGTAAACTGATGGAGACCTGTCTCAGACACTTTTTGGTTTACAGCCTGATGCTTTTGTAGTGACGGCTGCTTGATACAGTAGAGGCTGTTGCCGCCCCACTTACATTCTCTCCACGTGCCAGCTCATCAGCCTGTATCTTCCAACAACTCACAGCTGCCTCCATTCTAAAGCATTCTCCATTCACCCTGTCAGACCTAGGAGCCTTGCATAACCCACCCACCCACCCTTACAGTCCTTGGCCGACGTTGGACAAGCCCAAGGCAGCCCCTTCACCTCGAGGTAGGATGCAGCTCTGGTGCAATGTACTCCAGGGTGTCCCCATGCGGTCTCCATCTGAGACTACATTCTCGCTTAGCTTCCCCAACCCCAAACCTCCCCTTTTCTCTTATTGTCCTTTCTTTCTTTCTTTTTTGAGATGTAATCTTGCCCTGTTGCACAGGCTGGAGTGCAGTGGTGCAATCTCAGTTCACTAAAACCTCTGATTCCTGGGTTCAAGTGATTCTCCTACTTCAGCCTCACGAGTAGCTGGGATTACAGGCGTGTGCTACCATGCCTGGTTGATTTTTGTATTTTTAGTAGAGATGGGGTTTCACCATGTTGGTCAGGCTGGTCTCAAACTCCTGACTTCAAGTGATGCACCCATCTTGGCCTCCCAAACTGTTGGGATTATAGGCATGAGCCACTGTGCCCGGCCTTATTTTCCTTTCCTCAGGGTACAAGCCAATAAATCACTTGAATAAGAATCCTCATTTCAGGATCTGCTAGGTAATCTGAGCTAAGACAGTGGGCATGGTTGAAAGTTTTTCTCTGCTCTAATACTTAATTCAAAGTATTTATAGTACTTAATTTTTTTGAATTAAGTGTATTATAGTATATTATAGTACCTAAGTAAAAAATTAAGTACTTATGGTACTTAATTCAAAGTACTTAATTAAGTACTTAATTCAAAGTACTTAATTATTTAATTCAAAGTACTTAATTAAGTACTTAATTCAAAGTACTTAATTAAGTACTTAATTCAAAGTACTTAATTAAGTACTTAATTCAAAGTACTTAATTCAAAAAGTAATTAATTCAAAAAAATTTAAAGGCTTGGAATTCAAATAATATGGAAGGTGTAATATCCTAAACAGTGGTTTCAAAGAGGTTGTTTTGGCTAATTTACTAAGTCTAATTAAGACATAGTAAATGACTTAACACAGGTTGAGCATTCCTTATTTGAAATGCTGAAGTGTTTCAGATTTTGGATTTTTTAAAATTTTGGAATAGGGGTGGGACCCAAATCTAAACACAACACTTAATTATGTTTTATATTCACCTTATGTCATAAGCTGGAGGTAGTTTTATACAACATTTTAAATAATTTGTGCATGAAACAAAGTACTGACTGAGTTTTGACTAGAATTCATCACATGATTCTTAATTTTCCACTTGTAGAGTCACATTGGTGCTCAAAAAGTTTCAGATTTTAGAGCAGTTCAGATTGTGGACTTTCAGATTAGGGATGTTCAACATGTCCCTTCTAGTTGGGCTGCTGCTTCTTGTCATACATTTACAAAAACATGCTATCTCCTCAGAGAATCTGTAATACAGACAGTTCCCATTTGGGGCACTATGATTGTGATAGCTCCAGTTCTCCAGGGTTTCCAGCCATATGAAGGACAGTGTCTCTTTCCCTCTCACAATGTCTAAAATGTGTCCTTTTTTTCTTCCCCAAGGGGAAGCATCTTCTCATGGTTTTCTCTTTGCCTTGGCTTCCACGCTGGTTGCTAAATCAGGCTCCAAATAGGACTGTGGTAATTGCGCTGAGGAACTGTGACTATGCTGTTCTGTGTTGCCCTGAAGCAATAACAACAATTCCTTGAGCTAAATAAATAAATATACTTTTTCCAAAAGGACCAATTTTAACAATTTGGAAGATAAGTTACACACACACACACACACACACACACACACACACAAACCCACTATTGGCTGTTAAGGGAAAGTATCTGTTTGGGGAAACCACCAAAAGGACTAGGAATTTCGTTTCTACCAGTTAATCATTTACAATTTTTAAGTCTAGGCAGGCAAACAAGGTCCATGACAAAAAGATAAGAAAGTTGGAGACCATCACAGGAACATTCACAGGTTCAAAGTCTAACGATTAGTCTACGTGGCTGATGTGGTCAATTTCATGGTTTCCATTCCCCCCCACGGTGCACAGTGTGGGTTGTCTTCAGGACAATGTGAGGACGGCAGTGAGAATGGTTTCAGGATTTCTCCACGGCACTAAGCTCTTACTAAGCCGTGGGCCCTCCTGACATTTACTTACTTAAGACAGAGCACTCTGTCTTCAACTCTACAACTTTCCCCATGTCCTAGTGGTTTTTCGCTCATTTGTTATAATCATGATTTACTTAATTTCTTTACACACATCTGCCCATTGATGAATCCCGTCTCCCCCAAATTTTTATAACTTTTCCTTTCTGATTGAACTTTTTCCAGATCCTGGTAACCTGCAGTTTTTCCCTTTCTGTACAGCCTATCTCTAGGTGAGTTCCAGAATGACTGTTACAATGTAGCTGATATAATTGTTTAGACTCCTGTAGCTCACTAGCAAAAGTCTAGGCGCTCCTTTGCATGATAATTTAAGTTAACCATTCTAGCTTTCTTGCCTTCTCCTTCCCAGAGCGTTCTCCTGCCAGACATGGCCTCTGTGGGTCAGCTATAGCCAAGCAAGAGTCTTGAAAAGAGTCTAAGACTAAAGAAGGACTTGTTCTGTACCTGGAGTAGACACCTCTAAACTTCTTTCAAATCATAATGTATTCATCCAGGTAGTAATTTCCTGCTAACATCGCTTTACCAAGTAATGTTCCTTTCCTCACATGGCAAATATTTGCTCCATGGCATTTAATATGAATGTTTTTCTATATGCAAAACACATCCATTCATAGACACTCGCGCATGACCAAATGAATTATACGAAGTATAAAACACCATTTACAACTCGTTAAAGATTATTTGAGTCATTTTTAATCAATGTCAATTGGTTATGACTTATACAATCATGAATAAAAATACAACGTGACAAAATGGTAACTAATTTTTCTATATTTTCTGCCTTGTAAAGCCATCAAAGCAAAGATCTAAAAAGTTCATTTATCAGTTGGTCTTTTATTGAAAGGACTTGTTTTCACTGGGTAATGTCTTCAATAATGTCATCTTTTTTGTTTGTTTGTTTGTTTCGTGATTTTTGATCCTGGAGAATGATGACTGGCTGGGCCCAATGCTGTCCTCTTGCCAGGGAGGCAGAAGAGATGAGTTCTTGGTATCCTCTTACCACCCCTTCCTCAACATTTTTTTCCCTTTCCTCTATTCACTCCACACCCCCTCTTCACATGCCTGCCTGTGCATTTTCCTATCAACCATCCATTGTTCTTGGTTGGGGGTTGGAATCTCTTTATAGAGAACCACAAAAAGTCTGCTGCCATTTTTTCAGGAGTATTGGGATATAAATTCAAAATTATTTCTTTCCAGTTATACATTTAAAAAACATTTATTTTAACAGCTTTTTTAAACACACACAAAAAATTGGAAACATGATGTAAATTCACCTGTAATCCTACCTTTCAGAGATAAGTTTGTCTTAGACTTTTGGTACCTTTGCTTTAAAAAAAATTACAATATTTGAGATCATTTTGTACATCAGTTCTTTAATATGCTATTTTTCACTTGACACTAATTTGTAATTATTTCCCAAGTCACTAAAGTTATTATTGAAGCACGATTTTAAAGGATTCATCATATTGTATTATGTGGCTTCATCATAATTTACTCTACCATTCCTTTGATACAGAGCTTTTAGTCTCTTTCCAATTTTGCTATTGTAAATAATACTATAACAAATACTTTCCCCCACATGTCTGGGGCATTTTATTTTATTTTATTTTATTTTATTTTGATAGATTTTGCTCTGTTGCCCAGGCTGGAGTACAGTGGTGTGATCTTGGCTCACTACAATCTCCACCTCCCGAGCTCAAGTAATCCTCCCACCTCAGCCTCCTGAGTAGCTGTGACAAGCACATGCCAACACACCCAGCTAATTTTTGTATTTTTTCTACAGACAGGGTTTTGTCATGTTGCTCAGGTTCCTGGACTCAAGTGATCCACCCACCTTGGGCTCACAAAGTGCTGGGACTACAGGTGTGAGCCACCATGCTGGGCCTCCGGGGCATTTTATCATAATAGGGGATTCTTGAAGAAATGTCTCTTTGTGGCTAGGCATGGTGGCTTGAGCCTATAGTCCCAGATACTTGGGAGTGAGGTTAGAGCTAGAGGATTGTGTGAGCCCAGGAGCTCAAGTCTAGAGTCCAGTCTGGGCAACATAGTGAGACCCTATTTTTTCTTAGAGAAAAAGAGAAAAAAGAAAGGTCTCTTTGACACTGAACTGCACGAATTGGCTACAGGCAGCAGCTATACTTTTGAAGAGACAAGGGGCTCTTGCTTTGCTTGCTTGTTGAAAATGTTAACTATTTTTGAGTATGTTCGAAGTCATAGATGATCAAGCAACTGCTGTTGACACCTGCTTAGGTTATCACTTTGGTAAGTCAGGTGAAAGTTGACCGGTTTTCAACTAGTAAACCGAGTCTGCAGGCTTCCCAGTTTCTATTTTCCATGCATTATTCCACGATGGGAGTAAGGCTGGCCCTTCTGTGAGTGTTGATGTAGTGTTCCCCATTGTCTAAAACACTGTATCTCCCGTCAGTGATGATCTGTTAAAGGAAGAAAGACATCCATGAATAAAGTGTTCTCCAAAGTGTGATGTGTCCCAAGTAGAAGTGACCCCTTATCCCCTTCTTGCTTCCATCATTGTATTTCAGATGGCTGCACTCTTTTGAAGTTCTTCCCTGTACAGCTCCGTGGAAGGACCCTGACTCCCTCTAGTGGACAGCACCAGTAGGCAAACAGTAATTCTGCCCAGCAAAGTCCAGAAGCCAAGAGTAAGTGTCCTTAAATGCCCTCTTGAAATAATGGAAGCTGTGTTTCTGAAGGAGACTCTTCCCAGTTCACAAAAGTTTTTGTCTTTAGTGGGCCATCTGTGCAACTGCTGCCACAAGACATCAGGGGATTTTTTTTTTTCCTTCAGGGCAGCAATTAATTCAATAATCTACAGAATTGTGTTTCTTTTTCACTAGCATTAGAGACTTGTTATGTCCAGATTTACTTTATGCCACAAGCAAGAGGCATTACTAATATGAACAGAATCCAAAAGAAATGAGCTATGAATCTGAGAATGCTCATATAAAGAACTGGAAAAAAGTCATAAAATCATTCTTTTGCTTTAAAAAAATTCATTAGGAATGTAAAGAAAAACAGAAGAGACTGTTACAAGCTGTCTTAATCTGTTTCGTGCTGCTATAATAGAGTACCATAGACTGGGTAATTTATAAAGAACAGAGGTTTACTTCTTACAATTCTGGAGACTGGGAAGTCCACTATCAAGGTGAAGGCACCTGGTGAGGGCCTTCTTGCTGTTCTTGCTCTGTCATCCCATGGCGGAAGAACAAAAGAGTGAGCGAGTGAGCGAGAGAGAGAGAGAGAGAGAGAGAGAAAGAGGCAACTTGAAGACTTGAAGCCTGAAGTCCTTTTATAATTGGCACTATGACCTAAATATCTCCTATTAGGCCCCACTTCCCAACATTATTGCATTGGGGATTATGTTTCCAACATATGTTTTTTTGGGGGACACATTCAAGCCACAGCACAAGGATTACTGGAAAACCATATACTGTGTCCAAAGGGTCTATAATATTTTTTTCTCCCAGTTCATTCAATCACCTCAGATAACCATCCTGCCATTTTAGGAAGGAATTCAGAAGCTTCTATGTATGAATTGTCTAAATCATTTATTGGTCTCTACATATGCTTATAACGAAGTCTTGGTAACCCAGATAATGCAACCTGGCAGTGGACCTATACCTCCTACGTATCTACTTACCTAGGGCAAACTGCTTGGAAATGCTAGGTTTAGATTTTCTTATTTGTAAAATTACAGGATTGAATTAGATGAGATGTAAACAGCTCTTCTAGTTCTAAGTGTATATAAAAAAATAACATGTAGTCTCTTCTTAGAGAACACCTAAGGGAAGATTTCTTTCCACTGTTGTCTGCTACCATCACTATTTGCCTGTGATCTAAGGCAAGTTCCATCAACAGAGCAGGAAACATTTCCTTTTTTCTCAATCCTGCCTCAAGTGTCCTCTAAATGTGCCATTGCTGTTATGACCAGGGCATTCGAGCATCTCAAATCTGTACTTGTTGAAGAGCAGACAGCCTCTAGTACTTAACGTGCAGCTCCAGTGGGTGAAGAAAAATGCCCCATTTTATGGGAATCTCAAGAATGGAATGGCTGTACGTGAATCCTTTGTCTTTTATTTAAACTGAGATCAGAGTGAACACTATAGCTCTGACCTGTGCAAATACAATAAGCACTTCAGCCCAGAAACAGTTTTACCTCTTTTATTAGGTTGGGCTTTCAGTATGTATTTGAAGAGGAGCTATTTATGGGCTTGCAAACAAAGTGCTGGAGGAAAGGAATTTAAAGGACGTCCTTGAGCGAATTCAGGGGGTTTTATTTCAAAAGGCCAAACTGTGCATTAACCCTTCACTTCCTGGCACATACCACCTACATACTGCTCTTCCAGGGGCCTGGGAGAGATGGGTGATTAGGTAGCAGGTGGGGAGGGCAGGATTCACTTGCATGGTCTTGAGAAAGTCACTTCCTCAGGGTGCTGGCTCTTGCTCTGGCTGATGGGGACCTGTGGAATTGGGAAGAAACAGCAGCTGAAGAAGAAGAAGAAGAAGGAGAAGGAGAGGGAGAGGGAGAGGGAGAGGGAGAGGGAGAGGGAGAGGGAGAAGAAGAAGACAAAGAAGTCTTTTTGAGTAGGGATGTGCGTGCATTGATGCTGACTAGGTTATTTGCACGTCATTCAAGACTTGGTATTTTTTTTAAAAACTTGATGTTTTCATTTAGTCATAGTGGAAGAATACATGAAATTTTTTTGAAATAAAGTAGACTACTACTGCATTGGCATGCCCATTGTAAAATATAACTATAGTAGATTTTAAAATAAAAACAATTTGTTGGACAAAACTGCAATTAGTCAAGGCTCAGTTTATTGGAATGCCTGCAGAATCACCTTTCTGCCTGCTTAGGTGCAGACAATAAACACTGTGATGTAACCATGTCATTTTGGTTTTAGTCTGCTCTGTTTACAGTGTACTCATTTAACATCTTTAAGCTTGAGTTAGAGTAAGAAATAAATCTTTTATTTGACCACTGGTTACCTTCTTAAAAATTTGATGAGGGAGGTGGCTGAATCCCCGTTAGAGTAGGGCAGCAATACAGTTCCCAAAATATTTGCATGTGATGCAAGTTAATAAATGATAGCCCAGAAAAAAAGGTTTTGTGCTCTAATGAATTTAGTATGTCTCAAAGGGAACAAAGTAATCCCTGTTCTCGCTGGAACCTCAGCTGACCCTGCTGCCGTGTCATCCCATGACTGGTGATAGAAGAAATGAGAGCATCCTTGTGTCCCCTGGCACTTGGACTTGGTTGGAGGAAAGTTGCTGGTCTGTTGCTAGGGAGTGTGTGTCTCCTGATCAAATGACTGGACTCTAGTGTTGAAGAACGGCTACATTGCAAGGTGCAGACATCTCGTACATCAGACTCTGTTGTCTCCCAGGCCGCCTGGTATATATTCTGCCATGGCTAAGTCAGGCTGGACACGAGAGCTCTGGGCCCTGTGTTTCAGAAGACCCTGCCCTGACTCTCCTCCAGGTGATCCCCTCCCAAAAGGGCAATGAAACTATGCTCACGCAGAGCCTGCAGCCCCTCATTCTAGATCAGTAGTTCTCAGAATGTGGTCCTCCAAAGAGTAGCATCACATCACCTAGGAATTTGCTAGAAATGCACATTCTTGGCTCCTGACTCAGAACTCCTGAAACAAAAATTCTGAAGGATGGCTCCTGCAGTCAGTATGTTAACACCGCTGTTGGTGATTCTGATGCTTGCTCAAGTTTCAGAACTGTTCTGAGCTAAACCATGCTCTGGGATGCCCGAGACCCAGGAATTCGCTATTCAAACGGCTCTGCCCACCTTGAGGGATGGCACCAGCGTCCTTCCTGGGTCTGGGAAGAGATGTGCTTCCAGTGGCCAAAAGCAGCTCTCCTAGGAGAGTTGAGAGCTAGACAGACCTTGAACTGGTAGGTAGCTCATTCACAATTATACCTTCTATATCTAAGTCATTATTAAAGTACATCTTTTAGGTATGAGGACAGAACAGTTTGTTTTAACAGTTTGTTCACTTGATTTCACATCTATTTAGATATATGGTATACAGGCCTCTATTTTTACTCTTGTCCTGGCCTTTGCAAATGTTAGAGGTGGGCATGCTGCTAAAAGTCTATATTCATTGATTCATTCATTCACCCGTTCATTTATTTATTCATTTATTTGTCTATCTCTTTACTGATAGTGTCTATTTGATGTGACATCATCATCACACCTTTCTTTACTTCTTTAATCATGGCTTCTTTTAGTTCTCTGAATAGATTTATAATGGCCTTTTTGAAGCCATTTTCTGTTAACCCCACAATCGATTTGTTCTCTCAGGCAGTTTGTATCACCAGCCTGGTGTATGGGTCATACTGATCTGTTTCTTTGCATGCCTTGTCATTTTTTTATTGGAAACTGGACATATTGTAGTAAACTCTGAGTACCGATCCGCCCCTGCCCTGTCCCAGAACTTGTTATTGTTCTTTGCTTATCTGCTTAGTGACTGCCTATATTAGTTTAGTTAAGTGTTCCCCCCTCCCCAGCCCACTGGTCATCTGCCTCACTAAGCTAGGAAGGGGCAGAAAGAGAGTAGTCTTGGCTCAGATAACATACTCTTTTTTTCTTACTAAATTTTCATAGATTTTCTTGAATAGGTGTATCTTCTTTTGCTGTATGTCTTTAGGCTTTATGTGGTTGTTTTAAAAATAATTTTCACCCATTTCACTGGGAAGCAGGCCTGCAGAGCTCCCCATATTGTGCTCCCAGACGTTGATCTTTGTGTTAATTTCTTATATTTAAACATTCTGGCTGGGCGCGGTGGCTCACACCTGTAATCTCAGCATTTTGGGGAGCCGAGGTGGGTGGATCATCTGAGGTTAGGAGTTCAAGATCGGCCTGGCCAACATGGTGAAACCTCATTTCTACTAAAAATACAAAAATTAGCCGGGTGTGGTGGTGGACACCTGTACTCCCAGCTACTCAGAAGACTGAGGCAGGAGACTTGCTTGAACCTGGGAGGAGGAGGTTGTAGTGAGTCAAGATTGTACCACTGTACTCCAGCCGGGGCGACAGAGCGAGACTCCATCTCAAAACCAACCAATCAACCAACCAACCAACCAACCAACCAACCAACCAACCAAAAACACTGTATTGAGCATCCACTGTATGTCAGGTGCTGTACTAAGTGTTGGGAGTACAGTGGTGAACAAAAGGAGCACAGTCTTTTAGTTTGTGACCTAGCCATGTGTTTGGCATATGTGGCAAACTCAATAAATATCACATAATTAAATGACTAATAAATAAGTGTTTACATTTTTTTTTCACCAGAAGTCTGAGGAATTCCTAGAACATCTTGATAACTGAGTTTCCAGATATCTAGAGGCACTAGGAATGCTATAAAGACAGTATCTTCGTACAATAATCTTGTTCTATCATGATATTTGCACAATCTTCTTCTAATTCCAACTGTTTCAAAGGAGTATAGGTGGCAGTTACTATCATTAGTCCCTGTTAATTTTTTTCTGTCTGCTTTTGGGGACCTTCATTAAGGGTTAAAAGTGTGCTCTTATCACAAGGCTGCAGGTTTGGTGAGTGCTAGAACACACTCTTGGCATGGTCTTGGCCAGAAAAACCTTAGTTTGGGTTGTGTGATTTCAGAAGATCAGTTTGTACTCATCTCCCTGGAGTTCTCTAATTTATGTTTTCGTCTAGAATCTGACATGTCCTTTCCAATGACCTAGAATGTGATTTCTTCCTGATCCTTATTGTTCTTTTAGGAAGGCACTACAGAAATGCTGGAACTGAACTCTGATAAGAGGAAAAATGAGGTGTCTAGTCCCAGAAGAACCTTGCTGCTGTTGCTCTGACCCGAGCGCGTCATTGGTGAAGGAAAAGTTGGATCAGTTGTCCAGGTGGGTTGTATTTGGCCAGATGGGTCTGAGGACATATTAGAGTAACTGGAAAGCTTTATCAGAATAAATACATTCTGGCTGGGCATGGTGGCTGATGCCTGTAATCCCAGCACTTTGGGAGGCCAAGGTGGGTGAAATCACATGAGGCCAGGAGTTCGAGACCAGCCCAGCCAATATGGCAAAACTGGATCTCTACTACAAATACAAAAATTAGCCTGGCGTGTCGTGCACATCTGTAATCCAAGCTACTCGGGAGGCTGAGGCAGGAGGATCATGAGCATCGCTTGAACCCGGGAGGTGGAGAATGCAGCAAGCTGAGATCATGCCACTGCACTCCAGCCTGGGCAACAGAGCGAGAGTCTATCTCAATAATAACAGTAACAACAAAAAGAATGGATATGTTCCTACCTGTAAAAGCTTGTCAGAGTCCAAAGTGAGCATAGCAATGTGGTTGGGTACTTAAAGGGATTCAAGGAGGAAACGGGATGGGTGCAAGTTGAAAAACTTCTCCCCCCAAACACAGATTTAATTTTGGAGAACTAATTGGGTACCCCCAGAAGCTTGTAGATCAAGACTATAGTTTCAGTAAATCTCCAAATAAACATGTCCTGCCTCCAGCTCATGTCTGTTTGTGCCCTGAACTAAGGCACATCTAGACCCAGTGATAAGCATGTTATTTTAATAACCAGGAGAAGTGCTAAATTAGCAACCCTGGAGAATAGCATCCTCCATGCACAAAATGAAGCAAGAATCTCTTCCTGGAACTCAAGAAAGCCAGGTGAGAAGGAATTGGACTGGCTGGTTGAACTTCTCAGGATTGCAAGGTTGGGATACTTATTTATTTATTTATTTATTTTACATAAAAGCAGTTCTTCAAATATATAATTAAATGTAATTTTACTTTTAGGATTTCCTAAGAATTTTCATATGCTTAAGTTAAAAAAAAAAAAACCCTTATACCCAAAGGATTATAAATCATGCTGCTATAAAGACACATGCACACGTATGTTTATTGCGGCACTATTCACAATAGCAAAGACTTGGAATCAACCCAAATGTCCATCAGTGACAGACTGGATTAAGAAAATGTGGCACATATACACCATGGAATACTATGCAGCCATAAAAAAGGATGAGTTTGTGTCCTTTGTAGGGACATGGATGCAGCTGGAAACCATCATTCTTAGCAAACTATCACAAGAACAGAAAACCAAACACCGCATGTTCTCACTCATAGGTGGGAACTGAACAATGAGATCACTTGGACTCGGGAAGGGGAACATCACACACCGGGGCCTATCATGGGGGGGGGAGGGGGGAGGGGTTGCATTGGGAGTTATACCTGATGTAAATGACGAGTTGATGGGTGCTGACGAGTTGATGGGTGTAGCACACCAACATGGCATAAGTATACATATGTAACAAACCTGCATGTTATGCACATGTACCCTAGAACTTAAAGTATAATAATAATAAAAAAAACCCCTTATCATTCATATGTTCATTCATTTACTTCATCCATGTAGCCAGCGCTTACTATGTGCTAATTATATGCCAGACACTGTTCCAGGCACTAAGATAAAGATGTAAGATACAGCTGGGCGTGGTGGCTCACGCCTGTAATCCAGGCACTTTGGGAGGCCGAGGCAGGTGGATCTCTTGAGGTGAGGAGTTCAAGACCAGCTTGGCCAACGTGGTGAAACCCTGTCTCTACTAAAAATACAAAAATTAGCCAGGTGTGGTGGCAGGCACCTGTGGTCCCAGCTACTCGGGAGGCTGAGGCAGGAGAATTGCTTGAACTTGGTGGGGGCGGAGGTTGCAGTGAGCCAAGATCGCACCACTGCACTCCAGCCTGGACAACACAGCTAGATTCCATCTCAAAAAAAAAAAAAAAAAAAAAGATGTAGATGTAAGATACAGTCACTGACCTCAGGAAGTCAGTCCAATAGGGTTAATGGCTCTGTAGGCACATAATTATAATTTGGCAACATTCACAGAGTGATAGAGGGCTCTTTGGGAATGTAAAGGGGAAGAACCTAATTCTGATTGGGTGGATGGGTGTTTCAGAGGAGGCTTCTTGGAGGAAAGGACACTTACATTGAGTCTTAGGTGAATAGGAATCAGCCAGAGACTAGAGGGATGACCATAAGAATCTGGGCATAAGGTGAGCCTATACACAGACACCGAAGTGAGAAAGTGAGAAACTTCATGGGCATGTTTGGAAAAGCGCAAGAGCTGGGTTTGGTGAATCATTAGTTGGAAGATGAGGGATGAGAAATGGTGGTACTGTTCCAGAGGGTCTTTTGTGGCTCATTAAGGAGCTTGGATTTTTCGCTCTAGGCAAAGAGCAGTTATTAAAATGTGTTATACAGTGAGGGGGCATGGTTGGGCTGTTGGAATTGGGTAAAGTGGATTGGGGACAATACTGGAGGCAGGGAAACCAGAAGACTGTTGATTGATATATGGAAAGGGAGGGTTACATTTGAGAAATAGTTGAGAGTTATTATCTGGAAGAACTGGAGATTAGTTGAATGTAGGGATAAGGAAGATGGAGTACTGGATGATTGTCAAACCCCACATACCACAGCCAACCTCACCTTAAGAATAAACAGGCTGGTTGTGGTGGTGCACACCTGTAATCCCAGCTATTCAGGAAGCCGAGGTGGGAGGATTGCTAGAGCCCGGGAGTTCCAGGCTGTAGTGAGCTATGCTTGTGCCACTGCACTCCAGCCTGGGCAACAGAACATGACCCCGTTTTACCCCAAGTACTTTGGATTACAAATCACATGCTTGGAATTCTTTTTTTTTTAATTTTTAATTTTTGTGGTTACATAGTAAATGTATATATTTATGGAGTACCTGAGATGTTTTGATATAGGCCTGCAATGAGTAATAATCATGTAATGTAAAATGTGATAAATGTCCCTTCAAGCATTTATCCTTTGTGTTACAAACAATTCAATTATACTCTTTTAGTTATTTTAAAACGTACAATGAAATTATTATTGACTTAAGTCATCTTGTTGTGCTATCAAATACTAGGCCTTATTCATTCTTTCTAAAAATTTTTTTGTACCCCTTAATCATCTCCATCTCCCGCTGCCCCACTACTCTTTCCAGCCTCTAGTAACCATTCTTCGATTGCCTATCTGCATTACAATTGTTTTGATTTTTAGATCCCACAAATAAGTGAGAACATGCAATGTTTGTCTTTTTGTGCCTGGCTTGTTTCACTTAGCATAATGACCTCCAGTTTCATCCATGTTGTTATTGTGAGTGACATGATCTCATTCCTTTTTTTATGGCTGAATAGTACTTCACTGTGTATAACTGCCACATTTTCTTTTTTCTTTTCTTTCTTTCTTTCTTTTTCTTTTTTTTTTTTGAGACAGAGTCTCGCTCTGTCGCCCAGGCTGGAGGGCAGTGGCGTGATCTCAGCTCACTACAACCTCCACCTCCCAGGTTCAAGCAATTCTCTGCCTCAGCCTCCCGAGTAGCTGGGATTACAGGCGCCCACCACTACGCCCAGCTAATTTTTGTGTTTTTAGTAGAGACAGGGTTTCAGGCTGGTCTCGAACCCCTTGACCTCGTGATCCACCCACCTCAGGCTCCCAAAGTGCTGGGATTACAGGCGTAAGCCACCGCGCCTGGCCAAGTGCCACATTTTCTTTATCCATTCATCTGTTGATGGGCATTTAGGTTGTTTCCAAATTTTGGCTATTGTGAACAGTGCTGCAATAAACATGGCAGTGCATATATCTCTTCGATATACTGATTTACTTTCTTTTGGGTATATACCAGCAGGGGAATTGCTGGATCATATAGTAGCTCTATTTTTAGTTTTTTGAGGAACCTCCAACTGTTCTCCATGGTGGTTGTACTAATTTACATTCCCACCAACAGTGTATGAGAATTCCCTTTGCTTCACATTCTTGCTAGCCTTTGTTATTGCCTGTCTTTGGATATAAGCCATTTTAACTGGAGTGAGATGATATTTCATTGTAGTTTCGGTTTGCATTTCTCTGATGATCAATGATGTTGAATATCTTTTCAAATGCCTGTTTGTCATTTGTATGTTTTCTTTTGAGAAAAGTGTTCAAATATTTTGCCCATTATTAATCGGATTATTGCATTTTTTCCTATAGAGTTGTTTGAGCTATTTATGTATTCTGGTTACTAATCCCTTGGTGGATGAGTAGTTTGAAAATATTTTCTCCCATTCTGTGGGTTGTGTCTTCATTTTGTTGATTGTTTGCTTTGCTGTGCAGAAGCGTTTTAGCTTGATGTGATCTCATTTGTCCATTTTTGCTTTGGTTGCCTGTGCTTCTGGGGTATTACTAAAAAAATTTTTGCCTAGACCAGAGTCCTGGAGAGTTTCTCTGATGCTTTCTCGTAGTAGATATATAGATTAAGGTCATAGATTTCACTCTTTGATCCATTTTGGTTTGATTTTGGTATGTGATGAGGGAGAAGAGTCTAGTTTCTTTTTTTTTTTTTTTTTTGCATATGGATATTCATTTTTTCCAGCACCATTTATTGAAGAAACTGTCTGTTCCTCAATGTATCTTCTTGGCACCTTTGTTGAAAATGAGTTCACCGTAGGTGTGTGGATTTGTTTCTGGGTTCTCTATTGAGTTCCATTGGTCTATATGTCTGTTTTTATGCCAGTATCATGCTGTTTTGGTTACTATAGCTCTGCAGTATAATTGTAAGTAAGGTAATGTGATTCCTCCAGTTTTATTCTATTTGCTTTGGCTATTCTGGGTATTTTTTGGTTCCAAATACATTCTAGTTTTTTTTTTTTTTTTTGTATTTCTGTGAAGAATGTCATTGGCATTTTGATGGGGATTGCATTGAATCTGTAGTAGTATGGACATTTTAACAACATTGATTTTTCCAATCCATGAAGATGGACTATTTTTCCACTTTGTGGGACCCTCTTCCATTTCCTTCATCAGTGTTTTATAGTTTACATTATAGAGTCTTTCACTTCTTTGTTT